GCTGATTGCTGTCTACTTTCCCTCTGTTCCCAGGCAGGATGAACGTGACCTCTGGCTTCAGCGTTGTCGCCTCAGATCTCGGTGATCTCGGCCTCTGCCCGGACGGCCACCACCACGCCGGGGTCCCCAGGACCAGCTACAGCACCAAGCAGCTGACCGAGTTGGAGAAAGAGTACCACTTCAACAAGTACCTGACTCGAGTCAGGCGGGTGGAGGTGGCTCGCGCCCTGCAGCTGAGCGAGACGCAGGTGAAGGTCTGGTTCCAGAACAGACGCATGAAGCAGAAGAAGCTGCAGAGGAACGGGCTGCTCTCGGACCAGCGGCCCCCCGGGGCCTCTCCATAGACACCTGAGCTGCTGCACCGAAGCGTGAAGACAGCCGCGGCGCCRAGGCAGATGTTTTGATTCGTCTTTGCATCGGTCTCAATCAGGCTTTACCTTTATTTGTTTACCACGATGGGATGCTTGAGCCCCGAGATGCGCCATGGCAGCTTTGCTCCACGCGGGAGAGGCTCAGCGCCATCTGTCATCCCGGCCGGCTTCAGACTGCCTCTCTGATTTGAATATTAAAATCCGTGTCATGTCGTGGCGCTGCAGCCTTCACAATGTAAACGAAGAAACAAACTTATCTAATTGACCATAAAAACCCTGGAAGGTTATTTGGTTATTTTGGACGATTTAGTGTGCTTGAATATTTAATCCAGTGTAAATGTTTAAATTACGCAAATGATTTTATTTATTTAGAGTTTGATGTTWAACTTGTTTTACTGAACACAGACAAAAGATGAATTTGGCTATGTTTTCTGCCTTCTTAGCATCCAAATATTGCATAAAACYAATGAAATATTTTTTTGGTCTGTGTTGTTTGCACGTGCACCTGTTGTCCGTTTTCAGATAGTTTTCGGAATAATTCCAACTTAAAATCATTAAATGTGCGGACGCGTGCGTCTGATTTTAGGTTTTCATTAGATGAAAGACATATAATTTAAAAAATCCTTTAATTGAAGGAACTATTTATTGACCACACGTATCAGAGTATTGATCGGGGGGTTATCCATCCATCTGACGCAGAAATCTGCATGTGTTCATTTGCGCGCATCCGTAACTGCGCTTTGCGGAAACATTCCGATCGGGAGTTGTTTCATGCTATTTATCGCCTCCTTATGAATGCATAAGGAAAAACAAGATAATTCGACTCTAATATAACCCTTGTGGGAGAGCAGACAATAAAATAATATTAATAATATAAAAACTAGATGTCTGTGATGTTTTGCAGATCGTCCAATAAATTGCGCGGCCCCTGCAGTTCCAGCAGCTGCACACCCTCCTCCCTGATTCACATCTCATTACATAYAAAATAAATGATTGTAAACACGCTCCTTAAACACTGTTATGTTCCTGATATAACAATGTGTTTTATAATCTCAAGCTATGAGCCTTCAAAAATGATTTCCAAGGCCATATTTTTGATTAAATTCCAGTTGCATGCAATGATTTTTTCCCTCATAAATTCAGAAACGAATCGCAGCAGGACTATCAAAAATTGACATAAACTACTAAAGTAATAGTAAAGAAATTGTGTGTTTTGAAGTCCTTTGGTCAAGCATCCCTGGTAGGATTAAAAATGCGAATGAGGGGATTCTGTTCAGCTCTGCAGGGCTAAACAGTGGACAAGGCCAAGATAATATATGCAGTTACACCAGAGTTCAACTCTCACCTCCTGACCCTTGTCTTGCCTCAGGACAACGATGACCCGGTCAGCAGCTCAGCGGAGAAAGAAGCTCCATTAATTCAGAAGATCTCCAAGTCTGAGATTTTTCTTTCATTTATTTTCTCTCTCTCTCTTTCTTTCTTTTTTTTTCAACAAGCAACTCCCAGCCCTTTTGTTCTGGTGTGTTGCTCTCCCTGTCCACACAACAATATTTCATCCAGCTGAATAGCACAAAGACCAGGCCATATAATTGTTCATATTATGATTCCATACTAGGACAGAGAAAGAGGTTTTTTTTGTTATTGTTGTTATSAGATATGAACAAAATATTGGTTGATTTGTATTTGTGTTGTGCTGTTTGTTGATTATTTGTAATTATATTGTGTATTAAGT